TAGTATGACAGAGGATGGTATCAATTCATTGTTCCTGTGGAGTGCTGTAGAGAGTTTCGTTGGTGTACATTGTATATGTGAAGGAAGATAGTACTTAGTAATGCATGCTGTCTATTGTTTTGTTAGTATGACAGAGGATGGTATCAATTCATTGTTCCTGTGGAGTGCTGTAGAGAGTTTTGTTGGTGTAGATTGTATACGTGAAGTAAGATAGTACTCAGTAACGCATGCTGTAGAGAGTTTTGTTAGTATGACAGAAGATGGTATCGATTCATTGAATGCATGCTTTCTGTTGTTTTGTTAGTGTGATAGAAGATGGTATCAATTCATTGTTCCAGTGGAGTGCTGTAGAGAGTTTCGTTGGTGTAGATTGGTTATGTGAAGGAAGATAGTACTTGGTAATGCATGCTGTCTATTGATTTATTGGTGTGTTATTAATTCATTGTTCCTGTGGAGTGCTGTGTACAGATTTCGTGTACATGTAAAGGAAGGTTATATTCAGTGTTACATGCTGTAGTGTTTTATTAAAGTGTATGTACGAAAGAGAAGTACAAAATCACATGCTATCTATCTCGATGCTTTCAACAAGTAGCAGTGCAAATTATTAATATATTTCAATGACTCATGCACATTATGTTTTGAAGGGTGTTTTAACGTATTTCCTCTTTGGTGCCTTTAGCTAGAGTGCACCTGGAGCATTCTGAGAAAATACATGTAAGAAAATGTCTTAATGTAAATTCTCAATAACAGATGTATAATTTGTGTTGCTTCATGATCTTTTTCTTTCAGAGTGGGTATGTATTTTTAACTGGAAAGTCTGGTATATGTATTAATTACATACTTTACTTTGTTTCTAGCTAAAAACACATGTTTTAGTTACAGTGTACTATCTCATTTCTTACACCAGTCCTGAAAACTTGTGTTTAAAAAGGTTATGCAGAAGGTTTTAATTGCTTGTTGATGCTGAAGATACAGTCATGTTGATTGGTCCTTGTAGACATCGTACTGTATACATCATGCATGACTTCTTTTTATTTCAATACAACCTATTCTTGGTTTTAATTTATTTTGAATGCACTGTATTTTAGCTTTCGTTAGATGTTTTTGTTTCGAGTGGTCTTGTTGTATATATTTATTTTCCATATAGGAATGAAGATTGTTAAAAGATAACGATGTATGTTTATTTCATTTGATAAGACTTTTGTTTGTCAGATTTTTGTAAAGGATGCTTTTAGGTACATTAAACAAGGTATTAAGATTTATACCAAATCGCTGTCACACTATCCAATCCCTTAACCCTTACAACACTGTAGACCATAATGGACTTATCCATATCAATGCATGGTATAGTCTACTAAAGTGACGTAGGGGTGAAAGGGTTAAATCCAAAATTAATCCGTCTCCATAGAAACTTATCTTGATTTGTCTAATAAAAGGCTACTGATTTATGGGGGAATATTATGTCATGTGAAGAATGATAAAAAGAATTTGTTTAAGATTGTTAATACCGGGGAAGATGTTTTGTCATCAATATCTGTCATTAGAATTTTAATGAACATGTATTAGACAAAGAATTTTTGGCATCAAGCAAAAACATTAAAACTTTCTAATTAGATTTTTTTTTCTTTGGAGAAACTACATATTTGAGTGTGTATCAAGGGCTTAAACAAAGAAATATTTATGGAGAAATCTAAGGGTTATTTATTCAAGATATGAACTGTGAATTGGGAGGGAGGAGGGGGGTTGTCTCTAACATTTGGAAATTTTAAAGATTTTTTTGTTGTTGACGTCGGTAACACTTTCTTTATATGTGAATATGGCTTACCGTATTTTTCTTCCGAGACCAATACATTTTCTATGAATGTTGTTTGATTATAGAAACCATTTGCATAACATAACAACGGCCTGTACTTCTATTATTGATGCTTTACTGATGGTACTCGGACTAACACTGAATTATTTCTAGAACTTCTAATCGATCGTTTGGTAATAGAAGAGTATTTTTGGCCGAGATTTCGGCCAAGTTGTTGATGTAGTAGAATAATCTTACTGATGTTGTGTAGATTTAGTGAATAAAGAAAAAAAAGTCCAAATGTAACTTCGATCTCAGTTGTCTTTCATTGAATTTATATTTCCTGTGAATGTTTTGAGATTTCTCTGTTACATTGTTTTTCTCTTGTCCTGTTACTTCAAACAGAACTCCACTGACAGTACTTAGTCTGGCATGGTTTATTTGCGGCAATTGACCTCTACTGATGAGAACTGATTTTGATTTCATGATTTATTGCTCCCCTGATGTCATGGTACAGTTACTTTTCCCGTACCATCTGTCATACACAAGGAGTTGACAGGGAAATCTTGAACAGGTAAAACGGGCGACAATTCAATGAAAGGTGGGAGAATAATAGCATCTTTCCCTGCCTTGAGGGTTTGATGGAGAAAACGTCAACAGTAGAGTATCGCAGTGGAATTAATAGATATGGTTTTAATCAGATTGCAAGAGTTAAGAGATTCCTCTGTTTCACCCTAAAGGTAGGGGGTGATTATTTTTCTCCCATCCTGTTATTTCGGTCACAATACAACAAAGTAGTCATATTTGGTAATAAAACCATATTTGGTATATGATGTCACAATTTAGCTGTGCTACTCTGCACAAGGTTATCTCCCCCTAGGTTTTTGTTTGTTTGTGACATCTGTATTAAATGCTACAGAACAGACACTGCAGTAACCACCCAAGACAATTTTATACTCTGCCTGGGTTGTCAGTGTTGTGCAAGTAGGAGAAAACCACTTTTTCAAGAAACTTCCATGCTACAACAATGCCAGAGATGAACTTCGACAGTCTGCATGGACTTGAGGCTGGAGTATTAATGACATGATAAGATCCATCTATTGGGATGTCATATACCCAGTCGGAGAGTCATGTGCAATGCTGCTTGTTGAGTCTGCACCAAAACATGCATATAACAAATTCATGGTCTTCAAACATAGTTCTTATAAGATGCTTTGTTCTCTCAATAGTATAACAAAACTCCTTACTGTAAATATGATTTCAAAGTAAAAATTCTAGATTGATTTTCTGTCATTAAGCATCCTGGTCCTTCTGGAGGACCATGTTGAGCTATGCCATACTGCAGCTTCCGTCGTCCGTCCATTGTCCGTCTTGTCTGTCAACTTTTCCTTAAAACGCTACTAGTCATTAACAGCTTTATAGATTTTGACTAAATTTGGCCTGGAACATTCTTGGGCAAAGGGGACTAAATTTTGTATAAATAGAGGGTGTGCGCCCTCTGGGTGCAGAGGGGACTTTCCAAAGGGGAATTTGAGGTTTAAGTCTCAAAATCCTTCCTCTGTACCATTGGAGGGATATAATCCAAATTTGGCCTGGAGCATCTTTGGGCAAATTAAAAGGGGTCTAAATTTTATAAACAGAGGGTGCAGAGGGGCGGGGCCCAATAGGGCTTATTGAGGTTTAAACCTTTTAGATCTTTCTTCTGTACTGTTGGAGTCTTTTTATCCAGATTGTGTGTAAAGCATCCTTGGGCAAAGGGGACTCAATTTTGTATAAAAAGTGGGTTGCTTTTAGGGTGCAGAGGGGCAGACCCAATTGGGGAAATTGAGATTAATGTTTAAAATCCTCCCCAATTCATAGGGGCAGAAGGAAGGGACCTAATGAGGGACGGGTGTTACTGAGAGACCAGCCAATATTTGGAAATAGTTGTTTTATGCAATAAGAATAGTTTTCCATGGTTGCTTTATTATCCAGGTGAGCGATACAGGCTTTCTTGGCCTCTTGTTTAATTTGAGAGGGGATTTCAGTACAAAAAGTAACCTTTATGGGAAATATAGCCGTAATAATATCAATCTGATTTTAAGAATTGTCAACATTCTTCAAGCTCCTAAGATTTATTGTGATTCTGTCTCTGGTATGATTCAGATTGTAATTATCATGGACATTTTCACCAAAAAAGTGATTCAGTCATTTTTCTTATAATATTTAAAATATCAATTCTTACAATTGATGTGTGAAGGATGAAATTATATTCAATGAAACATGACTAATGTAAAAAACGTGCGGTTGGTCAGCTCAGTTGAGTTACAATCAAATGATGGTAAATGAAAAAATATACTCAAGTATATTTACGGAAAGTGCCAATGGGTCCGGATTAATAATGGTCATGATCAAAAGTTATATAAAATATGAATAGATAGGCAATTTTGAAACAAAAATTAGGTGGCTGAAGATATTACCTTAAAGGGGCTGGTCGGGGAAAAAAAGTCATTTGCTAAAATGGCATACACATTTTAAAAATACCTTCTTATGAAATATACAGATACAAATTTTGCTGAAATTCACTCCCAAAGAGTTAAAATTATGATTATGTTAAAGAAATCCTAAATCGTCACCTGACAGTCTAAAACTCTCAATTGACCCAGATCGGTGATGTAATTTTACCGCACGCGCGTCATCAACAAGAGATATAAGCTTTGTGTTTTCTTTGTATCAAACATAATTAAATTGAATGGTAGAACTTAGAATGTAGACCTTAAACCAGGGACAGTTGAAGTTTTTTTTTTTATATTCCTCTCCTTTTTGAAATGGGATTAAAATATGAAAATATTCTTATTTTCTGTGTTATATTTTACTCATCTCTCTGAAAG